CCCTCTGGGTGCCCACTCTTTTATGTGGTCTTTTTTTTTTTTTTTTTTTTTTTTGCAGATGCAAACATAGTTGTCTCTCTAGTTTTTCCCTCTTGATTAATTCCCTCACTTCCATTCTGATAGTTTCAGCAATCTTCCTCAAGGAATTTATTCAGTCCTTTTATTGAAGATATTATTGCTTAGATATTAAACATGAATGAGATGAGGATTTTTATTCTCTCACTGATAAATTCAAAAGTTTTCACAAAAAGTAGCCCACAATGCAAATCTCAGTTGTTCTTGGGTTTCTTTAGATCATGGCATGATGTGCTTCTCTTTTAAATTACTAGTTTGTTAGACAGGTTCTATTTATGTAATTTCTTTTTTTCAACAGATTTGGCAGTGATTGTGAACTGAGATTTCCCAAAAATGTGGTTAATCACATTTTTCAGGAAAGGTCGCATCAAGCTAAGGAACATACAAGTGGAGCCAACTCAACTCAAGCAGCTTGAACATTATAGGCCTTTTTAATATCCTGCCAATTTCAAAGTTACATACCAGTAGCAGGAACAATGAAGACAGCAAAAGTGTCTAGGAATTCTAGTTTAGCACTAAACACTTTTTCATCAATCACTAGAGAATATATTCCTTTGTACTTGTTGCAGTAATCCTCCTCACCTTTGTTGTTTTGGTTTTTTTTCTTCTTTTGACACATTGATGGTGTTAGAGTTAAACATCTCCTGGAGGACAGAATGTTCAGACCAGCTTTGTTTCAATGTGTTGTTTAGCTGCTGCAAAAACCACAAAGAAGCACATAGTAGCATTCCCGGTAAGACCCAGTGAAGTGTGAACTTGTATAAATAATTGATCCTGTGTTAACTTCTAAAGTTGTTGAGACACATAATGGACCCCAATCTGTACAAATATACACATTCTTAACTCACTCAAAACCAAATATAATTCTAACCAGATATGAAGTTAGTTTGTTTTTTCACCTTATTATTATTTCAAACTTAATCTCAAAAATGACATAAAATCATTCTATTTCACTGATGGATTGACAGGCCAAGATACAACTAATAAAATACATGTGGACAGAGCTCAAATGAGAAACTTCAAGATTCTAATGACTAGAGATGAGAGCATGTGGGGGTATATTTGATTGGTTTTTAGGTGTTTAATTAGAACTTTAGGATTATAATGCCTTAATTTAGCTTATCATTTTTTTTTTTATCATTATCACTGAGTAACAGATTAAGTGATCTCCATCAGTATAATTTATTATTTATGTGTGATGTTGATGACACCCATAAACACACCCAGTGTGAACAAAGTGAGTCTTATGCGTAACAAGGCTGAAATGGCTGCCTGTAGTCCAATCAGTAGTGTTGTTGGTGGAAGACAAAAGTCCTCCATAACTCTTCCTTGATTGAGGTTAGTGGATTTAATACTTGTTAAGTCTAATTGTTGAATGTTGTCATTGTTTCTTAAATTTGTAAGTCTTGGTTCAAACTGTAGGATCAAAGCCATTCCTTTGTTTCTGACCACCTCTCCAGCCACTCTGTGCTGGGGGAGGTTTTACTGCAGATACATTCTATCTGGAAGATCTGTTTCTTGTGTTGTAGCTTCCTGCTTTTATGACCCTTTTGGTGAGCAGGAGGTCACATACACATGCACACACATTCTCACACACTCACTCAAACACACACACATGGACACACATAGACACACACACACACACACACGTTCTTGCACATGCATACACATGCTTACACATACACACATAGTGCCTTGTCTTTGTAACCAAGAGGGGTCTTACGAGGGGAGGTGCTTTTGCTGTGATGTGTATTGTAACAGTTTGTCAATAAATAGCTGCGAGGGAAGCTGCTCTTTGAAGGATTTGGGTTATGGGACAGGTGAGGAGCGTGAGCTCCAAGAGCTGGTTTTTGTCTCTAAACTAGCGGGGCATGTGGAAACAGACCCAACAATACTTGATAAAGCATTTTAATCTAGATCACATACAGAAAAAAACAAACAAAAATAAAACCATTTAATATGGAGTCATCTTTGAATTTTCATCAATGACTGCACAAATCAAACCACTCAAAATAAAAATTAAAAAAAGATTGTTTGCAGACTTTAACAAGCTGCTGTAAGGAAGTATTCCTCCAACAAGAGATCTGTCAGTTTAAATATTCAAATTAAATATACAAGTCCTTCAAGAAGGAAATTCAACATGGAGATGTTGGTAATTCTCAGTTAGCTGTATCTACAATTTGAAGCAAATTCAATCAAAGCGGAAAAGGTATTAAGGTGAAACTATACAGGTGGACATGAGAAGATGTGTAGGAATATGCTTTGAAAATAGAAAAACAAGCATAACAGAAAAATGAAAAATTAATGGGCGGCAAAAATTGTAGTCAAATTTGTGAGAGAACTGTAAGATATGGGCTAAATGGATTTACATACAAAAAAGCCAAACAAAACCATTACTAACACCTAAACAAGAGAAAACAAGCTTGTAATGGACTAAAGAAACAGTCATGGAGTGCAGATGATTGGATTAAAGTGCTGTTTAGTCATGAATCACACATCTACATTTGTCATGGAGATGACACAATTCCAGTAAAACTGAATGCCTGACGTAAACACTACATTTATGTAGGGAGTCAGCATGTGGTAAAAGTTCAATGGAGATGGCAACCACCACCACAACAACCTCCACAACTACCACCACAACAACTACAACCACATTTTATTTTTTTACAGATACTAGTATTTTTTTATTTGACTCTATGCGTCTATCTCTGTGCCGCTTTAACACTCAACCCTCCCCCCCATCCTGTGGAGCTAATAAAGGATTATTTTATCTTATCATATATTATCTGAACCACAGTTATCATTACTGCAGCGTGCAAATCCCCTAAGACTCATAGTCCATCATCTCTTAAAACAGATGCGTATGAAATGACATAATTAAACAGGTTAGAGTATCATAAAATCATTGTCTGCCCTTATCACAAGGCACAACAATTCTGCACTGTTCACTTTTGTTAAAGCATTTGTTTGAATTTGCACTTGCATTTACATCACAGATCATACAAGATTCACATAACACATAATATGATCCTATATACAAAGCTTTCTCATTTTTAGCTTGATTTTCTCATTTCATTGGATATTAATGTCTGTAATAGAATCTGTGGATGTCATAATGAAGCAAAGATTTGTATAATAATATCTGAAGGTATATTTAAAGGTGACCTAGTCAGAGCTAACTTTACAGCCTAAAATACACGTTCTTTCAG